ACATAGAGCTATGCAATAAAGTTGGAAGTGCATAGTTTTCATCAACCAAATTACTTTTTTAAAATAGAGAATTGGTTAGGCTATCAGGTAAAAGCTAAAGCAGCAATATCATTTTTAGCGGCCCTACAGAAACACAACTGTGGATGTATGGCCAAATTTGGGGGTTGAGGCGTAAAGTCTAGAAACATGGTTTAACTTTAGAAACTCCTGGGTGGCATGCATTTCACTTCCTGAAATCAATACCTCAAAGATCCTTGTTTTCTTGTGATGGTAGCTGCGCTGGATGCAGAAGACCAGTTACCAGCTTTGCCTGGATGATGACCAACACAGATAAGCCAAAGCATAACCTGTGTTCTGTATCCTCAAATCACTGAGTGTCCCTCACAGCCCCCCAGGAGAGCAAATACTGTATTTTAGTTTTATACCACATACTAACTTTTCTCCATTAACCTTACGGCTACCAAAAAACGCAGCTAGTGATATGAGAGGCCTAACAAGAATGTGATCATTAGACCGCCTGTTGTATTACAATCATTCCTCATCGCGTGACGTTGCAGTTGAACTGTGGCACACTCCCCTCCAGTAGTCTGGAGATAAAATGCACTCTCTTCAGGAGAGTCTGAAACCCTGCAGCATAAGATTCACAGGTCTTGTATTCCAAAATATATCCAAGCAGCTAAGAGGCTGCATGTCCAAGCAGAAAACTGCACTGAAGGGTTGATAACACAGACCTGTAGGGTGGAAATACCTCAGCACGTGTAAAAACAGTCACGTTAGAAAAACAACACAAACTCCATCCTGCGTGGATCTCACGTATGTTCATACATTCTGCATATATCACATCCTGGAACACAAACATACTGTAGGAGTAGTTGGATGTGAGCACAGAAACTGGCAAGCATCCAACACACTGAAGCGAAAAAGAAGCTCCTGGAATCTCTCTGCCTGTACTGCAGCCACCCTCCTTCTAGCTTTCAGTCCAGACGATGCCCTTTTCAAAGGCTGCCTGTGTCATCTTTCAGATATTCGCAAAGCAGTGCTCTACAGCAACACAAGGCACATTCCCAGAAATGATCTGCTGCTCCTGTTTCGCCTGCTTAGGTGAACCTGATGGTCACAACAGCAGCTTTCCTGCAGGCTTCTGCCACGTGACAACCTTGCACGCTCGCCTGTACCCTGTCTGCAGCCAGAAGACAAAGATCCTGATCCCGATGGAGAAAACAACGGGCATGTGAAACTTTAAACCTTGCAAGACAGAAAAAGCACGACATATTTTGCAAAGCATTTTTCAAACATCTTTGCCCTAAAAATTTTTGCTGTTTAATTTGAAGATACTTTCTACAGAGTCTTTCTACAGAGTTAGATACTGTTTTAAATGTTCTTTTCAAGGGTGGAAAGCTGGATGCTTAATACTCCCCCCAAAACCCTTACTTTAAACTCAACACTGTAAAAACTGACAGCATATGACTGTTCTTCTACAGCATGACAGAGCCCAAAGAGTAGCGCGCAGACAGCAGGTTTTGTTTAGCTTGCATTCTGCGAGGATGAGAAGATCACAATCACCTCTGCATAGCTACAAAAAAATATGCAAATAGCAAAAACGCTTGTCTGTTTGCACTATCAGAAAATAGGCCAAACCTGAATAAATAAGAAAACTCATCTCTCCTTGTTTCTAGGTACAGTCTTGCTCGAATCACAGGCATGTCAGATGCAAATGAAGACTTGCTTCCCACCTCTTTTCTATGGGCAATTGAGACTTTTAATCTTCAACTGATGAATCCTGCCACTAGTAAAGGTTACACAAAGTGATAACAGAAAAGCAAGAAGAATTAATGAAGCATAAAACCCAATTATTTTGAATCCTCTGTCACTGCTTTCAAATGCTTTATTTCTTACTACAATTCACTAATCTTTTAGTGAAGCACAGCCCTAGTGTAGGTGGCTGGTGGGTTGGAAAGGTTCTTCAAGCGAGATTAAGTGTACTTGGTAAAAAAATGTTGAAACATTTGCCTTTCCTCTCTACCATATAAACAAAATTCCACATGGGAACAAAGTAAGCAATTCCCAGCTCTGTTCTGAACAAGCAAACCAGGAGCAGTGTGACTCTCACTTTAATGGGACACCAATGCATCTTTTCTCACTCCTCAGGTTTAGTGCCTAAAAACCTTGTGTTGCTGGAAGCCTGAAACACTGTATCTTGTTTAGGGCACAAAGCTGAATCTAAACACCAGGTACGACATATACATTGAAGTCAGGAGAATCAAAGGTACCAACGTGAGTTTGCACACCAAATAACTTGTAATATAAAACAAAAGCATTTACTTCTCCCATACTTGTTTCACGGATTTTTGCACGCCTGTTTGGCTACAAGATCCAGGAACTATATTAAAAGCACATGTAGGATAGCACAGTAGGACCAAAAGTGCACAGAGCAGCAGTTGATGCTGAGGAACTGACATCCACACTGTATATGCTGTATACGTGTAGGTGAAACGGGAGGTGTCGTGCCAGACAACCTGTAGTCTGGTCACGTGAACTGAATGCAGATTAGCTGTAGGTAGAGTATTTTCCAGTTTACTTTCATCCCAATGCAACTCTCAACTTCATTTCATGGTGCAAAGCAAGGCACAGTAAGCAGGTGCAATCAGGAGCTTCGCTTCAAAAGCATCTCCTTGACGCAAGCTCTAATGCTAATGAAGATACAACTGCAACTACCACAATTCTTGCAAGAGTGTTAAGGTTCTCCAGATGAAAAACAAAGGCCAGAAGCCAACAGGCATTTCACACGGAAAGAGCACTCCAGCTCATTTCATTCGGCACCAAATCATCCTCTGGATTCCCACTTGTGTATTTTTGTTAAATCACCGCGGAGGGTTGTGTGGGGTTTGGCTCCTGACTCACGAACTCAAGAGGGAGACGTGGAGCCCAGTATGGCCATGTCCAGGGGTAGGCGACAGAGGAACAAGCACCTAAGGGGCACAGGGCAGAGAGCAGAAAGCGGACTGGATACCTCCACATTCCCTGCACTACGTCAAAATGTCTACTGAACTTCAGAAAGTAGAAGCAAATCTGTCACGGCTCTGAGACACTTTCAAGAGGAACACGGCCCCTAGTCATTTTCTGTACTTCTCAGGTTAAAAATGGGACTTTAGCTTTAAGTATCACAACTTATCTCACATCTGATCTTCTCATTAAAAATGGCCCAGGCAAGTAATGTTTTAAACATTTCCCTATGTGTGGTTATTTCCAGCTGGCAGATATGAGTAAACGATACCATGACTTGGAGTGAAGAAATTTCAAATCCTGTTCAGAACAGGTCTGCTCAAGTGGTTTTTCTCCAGTGCAGGAAGGACCTTTTCATGTGTCGCCAATACTTCACCGAGAGTTCTTCTTTGCTCTGTCATAAAACTCACATGTAAGAGACCTAAATGAAACGACGAAGGGCACAAGTCTGCAAAGGCCAGTTATTTAGCCTGTATTTTAAGCAAATTTAAGACTGACTAATTACTCTGGGTGTCTTTCTTGAGTTACTTGCAAGGGCCTCATTTTCAAAGGGCCCGTAAAACAGACATCTCTCAGGAATCACAAGTTTGGCCAGTCACACTTTGAAGAAAGCCAGTACTGAACATAACTCAATACGGTATTTGCATACATATCCACCTAAAGCAGGAGACCACAGAGAAGTCAGCGTTTTCTTCTGGGAAGCATTAGTAAAAGGGAACAGTCACTGGGACACTAGTCTTTCATCCAAAAGAAAGCAAGTGTATTCTGTAGAAGCACGTATACCAGTTCCCCAGATAAAAATAAGAAGACAGGCATGATGTACTATATCCAGATGGGACAATCTTCCCTTGTTGATTTGGTAATAGAATTTTAAGTAGGGGTCCCGGAAACATCTTAAGCATGTCAGCTCTACCTTCCAGCGAGCCACTTCAGCTGACAGAGTGCTTCTGACAGGTTCTCTTCATTCAGAGAGAGAGCTGACAGCCTAACCTTACACCTTTAGCAACGTCTAAGTCACATCACTGTGTCATATTACAGTGTGCACCCCAGAAATAGAAGGAATGAGAAACTCCCAGTACTACACTGTCTTCAAATAAGGTTTGTGAAATGGGGGAGGGGGGAAAGTTTTTGAAAGAAGAAAACATATACTTGATCCATTGGCTTTTACTAAAGCTGTGAAGTGAAACTGAGATGACCTCAAAAACAACACACTTGCTCTTTGGTCTTGCTTCAAGTTGTTATCTATAAGTCAGCTAGTTCAGAGGTACCAAAGCATGAGAAAACTATTCGTCAGATATCTTTTTGCCTTTTGGGGGAAGGAGTGGAACAAAACAAACAAAAAAACCCCCCTTCTCCAACACTAACCTGACACTGAATTTGTTAAATGTTGGCATTAGGGGATATCCTATGTGTCCACCCAGACAAGTACAAGTTCTCCAGCTCTGCAGACTTTGCTTTCCCCTGCAGGAAGGGGACTAGCTGATGCCCACATGGCTCTTCTAGCTGTTTTCTCACTACAAACATGAAACACAGCCCCTTGTTGGTTAACATCTTGTACAGAGTGCCTGTATGGAACATGTACTTTATGGAACATGTACATACAAAGCTACAACTGCCTCAGAGGTCTGGGGAGCTGACAAACAAGAACAGAAACTGCAGAGGCAGGAAGCCTGTTAAAAGAGTGATTACCAGCCTGTGCGAAGTATGTAAGGCACATCTAACATGGCATGTTCTCCAGAAGACTCTTCTCCACTGTGATGAAATATAAATGTTCGTTTGGAGCGCAGTTACACTTGGAGCCATTCCTCAGTATCAGAAGTGGCCCCATACCTAGAGTACCAACACTTCAGAAGGACCAAGTTGGGTGGGGCAGGGTGGGGCTCATATGATGTTTTTCATCCAGAAACAGAGCATCTGATCTTTCAAATCACATGTGAAATCATTCTCCTCTCAAAAACATGCATGAAAACACCGAGACGGAGTTAAGTGATACTTACGCGGCATGATCCCTTGGCTCACCAGCTCCTCCCGTGTGCGCCGCTGCTGGAGCTTCAACTGCAGCACTGCACGACAGCAGAGAGAGGGAAGAGAAGGAAACCCATCAGTGCAAGAAAGGACTGAGGAGACATTTGCAAAGGCATCATGTTTTCTTCTCTGGACGCCAAGGCACTAGCGAGCAGCAGAAGGAAAAGACCTCCCTCCCACCCAGCTCCTCTGCAGGGCTGCAATTGCAGAAGTGGCCTTAGCAGTCAGGTTTCCGTATTCTGCTGCGGGCAACGGGAGAGGAAGTTGCGCAGGGTCTTGGCAGGGTGATAAAAATCCACAAACCCAGGCCTGTTTCTCAATTCTTTCTAGAGCCCCAAATTATTTCCAAACTATTAATATTAAAAAAACAAAGAAAAACACCGGCTGACGGTCCTCCAATAAACACAGAGTGACACTCCAGCTGCTAATGACTCCTGAAAACTCTAATTATCATGTGCAGATTAAATTGATATGACAAAATTATTGGTCGTTATTCTAAATGACAAGGCTGATTTCCTTCCTCAGCTCAGAAATTCACCTTCAGAAACATCTCATTAACGTGAAATATCATGGATATATCTAGAAGCATCCTTGTTCTACTCCAAAGGACTTATCACTAGAATTTTTCCTATGTATTTTAGAGTAACAGAACAAGCATGTTACCAGTATGAAACGCAATTACATTTTTTTTTTTCTATTGCGAATCTCTGGAACAGCCATAATTTCAACACTTAGATTATAGCAGCACTTTCCCTTTAAACTATACAATCAAAGCAATATTCTAGAGATTGGTCTTACAAACAGTCCAAGACAGCATCCACAAAAAAGGGACCTCTCAAAACCAAGGGAAAAAAATCATAGGCGCGTGTGCACACACACATCCACTTAGGACACCCATTGGTACTGAATCCTGTCTGCAGTCAAGCCCAAGCTCCTAAGTGTACTCAACTTAAAATGTTATGAGTGGCGTGGCATCTTCCCTGTTTTCATTTCAATTTCTCTGTCAAGCTTACATCCGCTGTATAGTCCACATAAGAGAAGTCCACACAAATGTAGTGGAACCACCAGACAGCAAAACTGTTCTCCAGTCCAACTATACAATCTCATTATAACCCTTAAGCTTCCTTTCTCAAGGACATTTTTGTCCAATAGACTCACTTCATATATTACATCCAAATTTATACTGTACATTCCCTAAAGTAGGGATCAAAAAACTTAACAAGATGCCACTTTGTCTACCTATACACATCATCACATTTCACCAGTTTCTTTCAACCTCCTATTTGCAGTTTGCATTTGACGAAGATGCATTATGCAATATGGATGTACCTTTCTCTGAAAGGCTTATGACAGTGAGAACGTTTTTCCTACCTGCGGAGGTACTTCCGTGCACACAGTGTGCAACCAAGTTAGCTCTGTTTCTTAAGCCAAACTAGGATTTCTTCATATGTGTATCCTGGGTAGGAGACTACCTCCTTTTGTATGGGGAAGGGAGAGAGGAAGGGAGGGTGTAGAGAGCACCATGCTAATTCTGTGGGGGCTCTGCCAAGAGCCAGGGCAAGGAGGAGGGAACACAGAGAGAGGGGAAGCAACGGGCCTTTCGTTTGGCCATGAAACTGCAAACAGAAGTAGCAGTCCCAGACTCTTCCTCCCACCCTGAATTCGACTGCACTCCTACTTCTGCACTAGCCTGAGGGCTAATACAGTCTCACAGCCGGCCTGTTCACAGAGCTCTTAGTTTGCTGGATTCATTTTGAGGTGATCAAAACCCCAATCAGGTGATGACACATCTACACGCGCGCTTGGCCTAACAGCTTGCTGCGACGGAGTCAAATCTCTCACTCCCCACATCATCTCTCATGTTCACCCAACTGGTGGCTGAACTCACTGACACGACAGAGACCACAGCCCAACCGAAATGAGAAACAGTTTTCTCCCTCACCAGTGAGTTGGCGAGGACGACTCTATAGCCAGGTATTTGCTAACACTAGCGTGAGGTGGGAGTGAGACTTCACCCTTCCAGCAGCAGTATGCCACTGAGTGATTTCAGCCCTATTAGGTAACAGCACATTAAATCTCTCACTATGGGGCATTATTTCCACTAGTGAGCCATTTCAGGCATTCATCTCCATACCCTAAATTAGCACATCTCACTAAATGTATACAGGGAAGGCACAGGCCTATAGCATCAGGTCTACCTCCACAGCTTTAAGTGCAGATAATCTCATTATTACTCATGTCTTCCCACTTACACAGCTACCAACGTACGTTAGCTCCTTTTGCCACTTGGCTATTTACTTGCGATGGCCATCTGCTTTCCCTCCCATTCCCAGCTACACCTGCTATTTACCTTGCACCTCCAGAGATAGGGATTTTCAGGGAAGAAGTCCCACACACAGGTGTGGCTGGCATTTTTTGCTCCTTGATGCATAACTCCGCCCTCACCTGTATTTATGCACATTTCGCCCAACTGTCTCAGTTTGCCTCAATGATCTAAACCGTGGTTTAATGTCATTATTTAAGCCTCCACTAGCCTTTGTTCTGTCCACACCATTACCACCATCTTGCATTTCTTTCCAGAGTGCACTGGGCCGATCCCAACTAGAAACACTTCTCTGCTTTCTCTGAGTACAGTCAGTTCTTAATCTACTTAAGCAACACTTCACTGAATTCAAAGATACTTTCTAGAAACAAAATATACCACGCTACCAAGTTAAAGGCCTTATAAAAGTCTATTACACCCAGACAAAACCCCAAGCAACCAAATTTCTGTAATCAAACAACAAAATCGCATTTGAACAGACCTGTTTTCACAAACTGAAAAGCTGAACAGTGTGATTATACTGCTATTCTTATCCCATCTAAAGTCTTTATCAAATTTTCCATAGTTTTTTTCCTGGAACTATGACACCAGATTAGTCACTCTTTAACTCACCCTTTTTCAGCAGTGATACAAAATGTTACTGGTCTTTCGCTCTGCTGCAAGTCTCCCTGATGTTCCCAGATTTATTAGAAATCAGTCTCAGCCAGAGAGCCAGAGACTTCATCAAATGACTTAAAATTCACTTCCTGACTTCAGCTTCCCTTGTGAATTTTCTAAATATGTCTCACTTCTATATCAGTTACCATCTACTACACTTTTTTCCTACCCATTATATGCACCTTTTAAACACTATGTCCCTAGCAACTGTCAAGAGGACTAAACTAGAGAATAGAAAAAAGGTCATTTTCAGGATACTTTTAATAGGCACTAAGTAATTCCCAGGATTTATGAATGTATATACATGCACACTAAGCACAAGTTATAATCAGCACATTATGCACTTTTCCCCCAGTACGGCTTATTTTTGTGGCAGGGAGGAGGGCAAAAAGGATTGCTTCAGTTCACTCCTGAAATCATTTTGGCTTAAATAAGTACTTGGAGTTCCCAACACCATTTCATATATTTAGGAGATCACCTGTTTACGTGTGCAAGTGTGTGAATACTATATATAGATTAACAGATGTCCCAAGAGCCAATCCAAGGCCGTTGTACATGGAGCTCAGCCAAAGGTCTAGAATGACCACAGAAATTCAAAGTTACTCAAAGACAGACTGGAGTGTCTTTCAATCACAACCCAAAAATCTTCTGTTTCCTTTATCCCTCAGCTTAACCTTTACATTAATTTCTGAATTAGGAATAAAGCAGGTCATGTAAAGGAGAGATCTCTCTGCTGGCTAGAAAATAAGTTCCATACTGGAACCCTTCTACCCACCTCTTCCATTCAATTTGTGCCTAAGACTATGCAACATATGCACAGCTTTGTATTCCCATCTGAGTTTACCCACCCCAAAATGGGCACACTTTATTTGTTTCACAAGTATGAAAAAATCTGAAACATAGTTAAAGTCTGAACAAGGCTTTTATCTCTCTAATGAACTGTTCCAAGAATTAGTAAAACACTCCAGAGAAATCTGGGAGCTGGTATAGAGGACTGCTGCCAGCAGTTTAAGAGGAAGGGTAGAGAATAATTGAGGGGGATGCACTAAGAGACAACCACCATTGTGATACACCTACTATCAGCAGAGTGACAGTGGTTAGTGAAATACAGCAAGTCATGATGGGTTTTTGTTCGTCTTACCATACAACGGCCTTAACAGGGAACCCCCAGGCATATTCCGAGACCAGAGCTTACTCCTGACTACTCATGGCTGGTGACAGCTCAGAGCAGTATATGTTTAACATTCAGACCCCTACAGACACTTTCAGGGCATGTGTAACTGCAGTCGGAGCACAGGGGTGCATCAGTAGTAAACAGTGGCAAGAACAAATGTTTGTAATGAGCTAAGGTGTTTGCAGCTCCTTATCTAAATCTGCAACAGCGTGCTTGCCCTTACACATGCACATCTGAAAGCCACTATTTCTAAACCACACTTCATGTTTAATACTGTTCACTAGAACTATCACACAAACTAGACTGCCGCCTCTGCACATCAGCATCTCAAGAGGAAAAAAACCCAATCTAATCTTAGAGACTATGTCATATATCAGGACAGGTTTACGACAACAAATTAAAAAAAATAATCTGCATTTCCTGTTTTTTGAGAGCTCGCCAAGAGAATCCCACGGCTCTGAACTGCAGCTTGCGGTGAGGCCCTGTGCATGTTACACTGAGTACAGACTGACTGCCAAAGGGACTCTGCGTTCACCTTCCTAAACCTTGTCTTCCAGGGAATCCCAAGCGACACCCAGGGTCACGCAAGCAAGGTAATGATTAAGCACAGCCATACGGTGAATTACAACAGGCAGCATGAGCAGTAGCACAGAATGCAGCACAGAACAGGCGCCAGAGCCAAACAAAACCCTAGAGTGGGGCTGAGGGAGGCAGGACTCCCTGGAATTTGGGCTAGGATACCTGCGCAAAAAGGGAGAGTGCAAGACTCCAACCGCAGATTAACTAGATAGGCTGCATGCTCACAGACAGGATTTATTGATTTTGTAAATTCAGTGAAAGCAGTCTGCCTGATAGAAAAACTCATCCTTGCAACCCAATCAATA